TGTCATTTTCTAATTTTTTTATTCTATGCCATTCAATTTTAGGAAAATCTCGTCTTTAGATATTTAGACCTTTTCCGATAGATATCAACAGCTATTGTCATAGATGAATGTTTATCACATAGAGAAAATATGTACCATTTTGTAAAAAATATTGAACAGTGTTAATTAACTGGTTGTAGATTATGCCCGTTTTAGTACCAAAAATATTTCTGGAAACACAAATCCTAGTTAGGAGTAATTCCTTTTATGTATGTGCAGTGGGACTGATCACAGACACTATCGGTGGAAATTAGATATATGGCTTAGTGGCTTTGAAAGATGTTTCCCAAGCATGATATTTTGGTAAGTATTGCCCCCATCAAAGGTACCCCCTGAAATTTACTATTTCAAGTTACCTTCACAAAGTGTATATTTACTTCAAAATCCCCCATATTATGATATCCAACAAAATAATACAGGTGGAAATGAAATACGTGTAAATGCTATTATATCCTCTCAGATGATGTTTACTTCATTTTCAAATTTAATGTATAATTCTTTTAAAACTATTGCATCAAATACTACTCTATCTTCATCGTTTTATGATAGAAACAAAGATTATGGTTTTGTTATTTTCATTTTTTTCTCTCTTATCTTTCCTATTTCTATCTAATAAAATGTTTCTCATAATATTCTTTATGAAAAAAAAAGAAAAGTATTATGCATAACTCATTGGTGTATCTGATACCTGTCCATAGCAAATAAAGGGAACAGGGGGTATGTATGTATGTATGTATGTATGTATGTATGTATGATGTATGTATGTATGTATGTATGTATGTATGTATGTATGTATGTATGTATGTATGTATGTATGTATGTATATGTATGTATGTATATGTATGTATGTATTATGTATGTATGTATAATGTATGTATGTATGTATATGTATGTATGTATGTATATGTATGTATGTATGTATATGTATGTATGTATGTATATGTATGTATGTATGTTATATGTATGTATGTATATGTATGTATGTATATGTATGTATGTATATGTATGTATGTATATGTATGTATGTATATGTATGTATGTATATGTATGTATGTATATGTATGTATGTATATGTATGTATGTATATGTATGTATGTATATGTATGTATGTATATGTATGTATGTATGTTATGTATGTATATGTATGTATGTATATTGTATGTATGTATATGTATGTATGTATTGTATGTATGTATATGTATGTATGTATATGTATGTATGTATATGTATGTATGTACATGTATGTATGTATATGTATGTATATGTATGTATGTATATGTATGTATGTATATGTATGTATGTATATGTATGTATGTATATGTATGTATGTATATGTATGTATGTATATGTATGTATGTATATGTATGTATGTATATGTATGTATGTATATGTATGTATGTATATGTAATGTATGTATTGGTATTATTATGTATATTGTATATTTATATATTATGTATAATATATGTATATATATATATTATATATATATATATATATATATATTATATTATATATATATATATATATATATATATATATATGCTTTTGATCATCTTAATTCTGTGGTGTTTAAAAATAATCTTAAACAACACATTATCAAGTTGCATCACTAAGGATCATACCCTGAAACACATTTGATTCTGTTTTTGTTTATGGTGTATGCAGGTGTACAGAAACTATGTTTATTTCTCGAAGCAATTCGTTTCCATTATATTTATTGTACCTTATTTTGTTGCTCATATTTGTTCTGATATCCTTCAGTTTTTTTTCTAAATTTTTAATAAATTTTGTGAATTGACATTTTGAAATTCCTTGGTCTATCAAGCAAAATGCACCAAGAATTTTGCATACAGATAATTATATTTTTTCAGGAGCCCTTCACATTAAAGGACTATTTTAGATAGTGGAATGGTTTCCTAAATATTATTCTTGAAATATGTTCTCTGTCACTCCCTCTCCCTTTCCCTCCTTATTTCTCCCATATTCTCCTCCTTTCTTGTAGCTTTCAAAACATTAATGCTAAAAAGTATTTGACTCATATAAAGTCTTGAGTGAATGAGTAACATCTTGATCCACATATATGCCATGACTATCTCCACACATGACCTCCAATGCACATCTGACTCTTACATTCCCCTTTTAACACTTTTCAACTATTATCATAACTAATCTAATTTCTTTATGGCAATTACTGTAATATACTATATTGTAAAGCATGAGAAATCATAATTGATAATGCCATAAAAGTTTTTTGGATGGTTTATTTGTATCTTCACTTGATTTCAAATCGTCCACTTCCCTGTGGTTCAGGCGGGTGTCAAAAGAGGAAAGAGAGAGAATATGGGTGGAGAAAGTGGTGGAGGGAGCAAGGTGGAAAGGAGACGGCAATTTTGTAACACTGACTGGACTATTCATTATGAGAGGAATGGTATTTCTTCATGTACTAGTATAATTATCTCCTGTACTGCAACTGGCTCATCATCTCACTCTTCTGAGTGGTTCACCTAGTTCATCACCTTGCTTCTTTTGCTTAAGTACCTACTTCAGTTATCAATATGGTATTTTACAGTGTAACATCTAAGTATACTAGAGGAAAATAAATAAATTATACCCCATTGAAAATCACTTTTCCTACTGACCCTTAATAATTGGTCCAATGTACTTTCCAGCTAATAACTTCAGCATTGGTCTCATTTCACATCTACTCTGTACTGGGGCCTGGCTCTTCTGTTAATTATCATAACCACTTGCTCCCGGTAGCAAATGACAACTGAGGATCTGTCTCCATACTGTTGATGTGATAGTATGGAATACGTATTTCGCCATGTCTGTGCAAAGTTTTGATTTTGTTGAAAATACACTCTTAGTGCATTATAATAACACAATGTTGTAGCGTTGCTTAGGCCAAGTAAAAAAGATTCCTGATGTCTTATTAGAGCTTTCAAAATTTCAAAGGCCATGCATTATTTATTTTTTACAA